TCGAAATCCAGCATTTGGACAGCCCTCTCGAAATCCAGGACCACTGGCTCCTAACTGCTCACCTGCCTGCCTGCCTGGTCGCCTTAACTGCTCTCCCCTGCCGGCCCGATTGCTCTAACTGCTCTCCCCTGCCAGCCTGATCCCCCTAACTGCTCTCCTCTGCTGGCCTGATCACCCCTAACCACCTCTGCCTTGGCCCCGCCACCATGGCTTTGTCTGGAAGGATGTCCAGTCTAATTAGCATATTAGCCTTTTATTAGTATAGATAATAAGTGTGAAATAACACCCATTTAAAAAACCTTGACTATTGGCAATCCTAATATCAGCTGAGATGATCATCTGGGCTGTGTGTTTAAAATAACATGTTTTGCCCAGCCAGTGTGGCTCAGTGGTTGAGTGTCGACCTATGAACCAGGTGGTCACAGTTCCATTCCCAGTCAAGGACACATGTCTGGGTTGCAGGCTCGATCCCCAAAGTGGGGTGTGCAGGAGGCAGATGATTCTCTCTTATCATTGATGTTTATATCTCTCCCTCTCCCTTTCTCTCTGAAATCAATAAATATATATATTTTTAAGATAACATGTTTTCAGGAATTTCCCTCCCTTTTCTTTTCCCATTTCTCCTCCTACTTAAAAGTGGGTCAAAACCTGGCCCACACACGGCTCTTTCCTTTTGAAATATGGAAGCTTTTGCTGTCTCCTGGAAATCTGAAAAAGGGACCTTGCTGAAAGACAAACCCTAAAAAACAGAGTGATAAAGTGGGCAAGCTTTCTTCTCAAATCTCTGGGAGTCAGTACGGGTATGATGACTTATAGTCTCCCTTGGAGCTTAAATGAGAGTGGGCAAGTCAGGCAGCAAAATGCACAAATAGCCCTAACCAGTTTGGCTCAGTGGATAGAGCGTTGGCCCACAGACTTGAGGGTTCAGGGTTTGATTATGGTTAAGGACATGTTCCTTTGTTGCGGGCTCGATCCCCAGTAGGATCGATGTTTCTCTCTCATCAATGTTTCTAATTCTCTATCCTGTTCCCTTCCTCTCTGTAAAATCAATAAAAACAAAAAAATAAAAACTGTTCTGCCTTAATTTAAACAAACAAAAAAAATGCACAAATATGAGGAAGGTGGTAACAGTGGTGAACCTACTTGTGTCAGCTACTTTATATACATTAACCCTAATCCTTGAGACCTTGACAAAAAAACTAGTATTAATTCCTTAATTCCATTTTACAGATGAGGCACCCGAAGCTCAGGGTGGCTAAAAACACTTGTCCTTACAGTCAAGTCATTGTGACATTGCACTGTAATTTCCAGACTTTCTAATTCTAGAAACAAACCCCAGATGGCCACAGAGACCTTTACAAATCCTTACTGTCACCCAAAGAGCTTTTATAATAACTAGGAGCCCTGGTGTATTTGGTTCTGCTTCAGTCAAAGACTAGCCAAGTGACCATGGCAAACAGGTTCCTCATTTGTAGGCTGAGCAGTTGGACTTCACCTTAAAGGTCTATTTCATCTATTATGTGTTCTCGGATTCCCAGAATAGGAAATTCAGGTGACTCTTAAATAGGTTGAACAATGTTCAGCCTTAGTCATGATAACTGAATGCAAATTATTATTTCACCAAGATGCTCTATCAGACTGAAAGATACCAAAATGTGTGCCACAGTGTGCTGGTCAAAGTGGGGGGAGAGATACACTCTCTGACATTATTGGGGGCCAGAGGTGGGTACCATCTCTACTGAGGGCAGTTTAGCAACATCTATTAAAAGTCCTAATACACGCAACCTCTGACCTAACAATTCCACTGCTGCCTATTTCTGTCTCTAGCACCAAAAATACAAAACAAAACAAAACAACACATTAAGGAGGAAATCATTAAATTTCTTTGTGTCCTTTGTCTTTGCAGAAAAATTACTACTGCTTGCCTTCTTTTTCTAATGAGAACTTTTAGGAAAGCTTTCCAATGAAATATAGTCTACAAAACATTACTTATAAACTTTACTGTTTTCCAACAGAATCTGGGAAAAGCAAAACAAAAGAAAACAAGAAACAATTTGGAGAGATAAACATGTATGAGAAAGAATCTACCTAGAAATTCTAATGTATTAGCTATCAGTGGTCTACTACCTGGGAGCACATTCAATGCAGTATCCGGGCCAAATCTTTTCCATGCTCTTTCCCCTTCTATTATATTTCAACTCCCCTTATAATAAGATGGCACTGTCAAGGGAGGCAGCAAGCCCAAGCCAGATGAGGTCTTGCTCTACCGTTCAATATGCTACCTGCCCATCCCACCTCTCTTTCTTCCGATCTTCCCACTGTTCTGTCAAGTCCAGTTAAAATTTGAAAAGAACCCCGGGAGAGTCTTATTATACATTTTAAAATATTCTGAAAGATCTGAGACCCAAACTTACAACAAGAAAATTTAGGTTTGTTTGTTTATTTCAAGGGTTTAATATTTAAATGGTCAAAAGCTAAAAGATTCTAAGTTTCTGACATTTACTATTATGTTTATAAAAATGTATAGCACATTTTTATTTGCTTTTAGATTTTTAATTTTTTACTTATTTACATTTTTATTTTTTAATCAATCTAAATTGTATTTTGGTATATGGCATAAGACTCTAACTGTACCTTTCCCCACATAGTCTTGTTCCCAAATCATTTATCAACTACTCCATCCTTTTCTGCCAATGATTCATAAATAAATTTTCATGAATATGATTATTCTTTTTTCACTGCCTCTGCTGTGTCATCAACCTAGGCTATTCCCATGGTCTAATATATTATTTACATGATTGTGGTTTTACAATAGGTTTTAATATCTGGTAGTTCAAGTTCTCTCATTAACTTGTTCAGTATTCTTATCTATTTTTGCTTGCTCATACTTCCAGATTAATTTTGGAACATCTTTGTCATGTTATCCCAAAATTAATCCACTGGGACTGTGCCTATGATAACATAATATTTAGAAATTAAATTAGGATTCATTAATAATTATTCCCATCTAGAAATATATGGTATGCCTCTCTAGGAGCAGCCTGTTCTTAAAAAAGGAAGAAGGAGAAGGAGGAGGAGGAGGAGAAGGAGAAGGAGAAGGAGAAGGGGAAGGAAACGGGGAAGAAGAAAGAAGGAGGAGGAGGA